CCGCAAACTAGGATGGGGAAAGGGGAGGGGGGAAGGGGGAAAGACTTGCTAGGAAATGCACGAGGATTGGGACGCTGCTAAGAAATGGGTGAAATGAAATTCTGCATCCGGTGATCTCCAGCGATATTACAAAAGGAGGTACAGCCTTGCTTCTGATTGCATCCAGCGGCGAACAGAAAGAGTGCAGTCTGTCAATTGCACGTTTTAACCACGTCAGGTTGGCAACTGCAAAACTCTAATAGGAAACCCTGACAGTGAGCAGCGCTCGGAAAGTCCAGGGGTGGGTGGAGGGCACTGCCAATTCGGGAGGCAGGTGCTGGAACCTGGTGGCCGCATGCACAATGCGCTTGGAAGCCTTCTGCTCAGACTTTTCCACTGACAGAGTTTCAAAGGAAACAGAAGAGCCAACCTAACACGAGAAAAGCAATGTGACTAAATTGCACGCTTGTTTCAGGGCTGCAAACCGCCCCTGGAGGCTGCCGTTCAGAAGTTCAATTCAGGCAGGCACACCCCTCACGCTCACCTCTGAGTTTTTGTAACCTAGCAGCAGATACGTCGCCATAACTTCATTATACTTCTGGCTGACTAAGGAGTCCTGGATTTCTTCCCGGGTGTATCCCATGGAAATCATGAGCTCTGTAGGGTGAGGGAGAAGAAGGGGAGCAGAGGGAGGAAGAGGGTCAATACTCCTTGGAGGATGGAGAAGTGAATAAAATTTCATGGTGCTGAAAACACCGTTGGGCTTTTATGGTACTTCGATTTAATGTTCAACCCTGAGGATTAAGGACAGGGGAGTGTCCAAACGGACCTTCTGAGTAACGTTGCTGTCCTTGCAGGACCAATGAAGCGGAGAAATCACATTCTTCTGTGTGGTCTGCTCTGTAAGATATTTGGGCCTGAATTCCATGCTTCTTCCCTCCCCTCAGACTAAAGTTTGGGCATTTCTAGCAACCCTGCAAAGTTTCGCTCCAGCATCACTTTGTCACTTTGGGGCTTGCAGGATTTACCCGGGCCTAACTTTTGGTCAAACCCCTTCTCGCTCTGGTTTTCATTTTAGAATACATGCAGACGGTTTCAGTCTGCATGTAGGTCTGTTCTTTCTGTACTCCTGACGCTGGCCTCTTGAAAACAGCAATAAACTATGTAAGAAAATAAAACTAGGAGGCAAATTGAGATCTGTGAGTGTGTTGTAGGAAAGAACACCCCCCCTCAGCTGCTCAGAAGGTGGCCTGTCCCACCTGGCCATCAAATGAGGATTACCTATCCCCCCCTTCTCATGTACCTGTCCGCCGAGGGTCCTTGTAGTCTGGCAGAGGTTCCACATAAGGCTTCAATTCATCGTCCTCATGT